GGCATTCGATCTGATTAAGGTAAATAAAACTCATTGAAAATGTGTCAGTTAATATAAGCTCGATCGATTGAACAGCGTGCGAAATATTCCGCTACTGAGATAATTGTGAACAGAGTTATTATTGCGCCTCAAGGTTTTAAAAATCTTTTGACCACATGATGATCGAGTAAAGGAACAGGTATAATGGTTATTCTCGGAAGATCAAAATATTATATTTTTTACTCTACCTTTGCCGTCACTGAAGCCGGTGGACATGGAATGAAGGATTTGGCTTGAAGTAAATAATGAGGTGTCTGAAAAAGGAACAGGTTTAAAGCTTGTTCTCCGCACGTCAAGTTTAAATCGAGAAAAAGTTCCATGCTTTTGTTGATGCTCTGTTACTAAGATGAGAAAGTCATTTTATTTGTGGACACAGAATTCCTATTCATATACTTTATTTCCAAATTCTGATAACTTTATCAACCTTCAGTAATTCGAGATTATCAATCGCCTTTGCAGATGAAAAGAAATTGAGAAACAACGTCAGTTACTTCCCTTTAGTTCATTTCTCTAATCTTAGGAGAAAGTCATCTTTTACAGAGAAAGATCTGGTCTTTCATATGAACTATTATTTCGGCATCTATTTTAGAGAATCAATATCACTCTTTATTCATACAAGAGTGTTGGCTGTTAAGCATCCTTGACTCTGTTCAAAGCTTTCTACGTGTGAATGAAACGTTTTGGCTCACTTTTGATAGCTTGGAATGCAGTTCTTGCAGCACAGCAGCTTAACTTTGTTGTAACCGCTGGCTAAAGAAAAGAAGATCAATGGCTCCCATAAAATGTCAAGTGTAAACGAGCGCTAGGTAACTTGAATTATGAAAACATCTAAACTCAGCCATAATTGTGTTAATCAATTACGAACTTTTTGGTTTGTTCAAACCTTTCACTCTTATTGCGTTCCTCTTAAAATGTTAAAATCGGAAACTCATTATTAACATTAATTATTTTGGGTTATAGATGCACGTAGATCTTCCTCAGCTCAAAGATTATGGAGGATGAAGTCAGTAGAAGCGAGAGTGATATAAGTTTATCAGTCACATAATTACGTGTGGTTCTTCTCGCAAAGATTTCTGAATGGCTACAAAGACTCGTTTATAGACGTTCCTCAAAAAATAAAACAAAACAAAACAAAGGGAAACAAAAAAAAATAGAAGACGTCACTATCAAATTCACAAAGGTCAGTGCTGGAAATCTACATTTAAAAGAAATATTCTATGGTTCTAGACGCTATGAGAACCTGCGAGCAGATAACCAAGAGCGCAAGCACCCAAGGTAAAATGGTTTTGGGTCGTCCCGAGAGACGAGATGATAATAGATAAGGCAACAAGACAGTAACGCTGGTAAGTTATTTAATGATTTGTGTTACTTTTCTTTTTATATTGTGAGAGGGTCATATGTATCAAAGCGCTATCTAAACTAGGCAACGCGCCATGTTCAATGGACTGCTATGTTCTGAGTGTAATTCGTCCCTAACTTGCCCCATGCGCTGGAACTGCTAATTTGACCCTGGAAAAAGATTTAACTTTCAAAGAAAATCTGAGTACCTAATAAATCCTCACGCGTGATGTTAATAAGGAAAGGACTGAGGGGAGTACACATCTACCTGCACGTATTTATATATGAATCCTCTCATTATGTGCAGTTATTTGCTTCAAATTTAGTCTGGATCACTCAAGCACAGTTCACAGATTGTTCGAAACAATCATATCATATGATAATTTTTTTCAGAAATCTTCTAGTAACACTGGTAAAGTACTTTAATCGTGCCAAAGCGACCGCATCCTTGGGACTAATAGGATGGTCACCATTCAACCAGACCGGGTATCTCGCCTGGGCCAATAATTTACAATGACAATTAGAGTTAAAATAATGGAAGTAATGATTATTATGAAATGTGTTAAATTCGTGATAGGCGTCTACTTAGATAGCGGTTCATAAATCCTCTTTTTACGTGGAGTTATTTTCCTCAGCGTCAATCGTCAATGCTATTTCTTTTGTCGTCACTCTGCTTCATAATACGGAAGTATTATAATACGGATGTTTTTAACGTTTTTTAAGTCTGATAGTTTATTATTGCCCGGGATATGTTGATAACGAGTCGATTGTATCCTCTAATTTTGTCTCAGAGGTACCAATTCTGTGGGATTTCTTGAAAAGATCTTTTCTATCAAATAATAATGAATAAAGGGAGAATTGATCAACGAACCTGTTTCTCTCATAATAATATACATGGAAAAATTACTCAGTTCTGATTGGTTAAGATAAATGCAGTTTTTAGGTAATTCAGTGCAGAAGAGAGTTAATTCAGTGCAGAAGAGGGTTAATTCAGTGCAAAGAAAGAAACAAACCAGACATTCTGATGGGTCAATAATCAAAGAAACTCGCAGATAGCCAATCAAATGCGAGCCTTGGATGTCGCAACAACAAACAAAAATTTGAAAATTTGAAAATTTGCGAGCGAAACAATGGCCGGCGTTTTAAGTAGGTTTTCTTTCGCCACCACAGCTGAAAAACAGCTTAAACAATGAACAAATGTCGGTTTGGAAAAAGTGGTGTTTAGAGAAGGGAATTGCCGAGGAAATCGAAAATTACGAGCCGACCCGGCTTAACACTTTGCTCGAGCGATCCAACGCCGAAATTAAAAACAAACATGGTTAAACCTCGGAAACGACAATTCCATTTCATCGAAAGTGATTCGGACACAGACTGGACAATTCCTTGAACTGTTTAGCCGGACTTTGATCTTTTTTGCGCCTTAAAGATGCGAAGATATCATTGCATATTATTTTTTTGATCTACGCAGTTGTTTTGACCGAACGCACGGTTTGAATAAATTATTTTTTGCACTTGATGCGCGCGCTTTGCTTATGTTTAATTATGATAGACCATCTCGTATTTTCCATGTATATTATTAACAGGTAATCACATGATTTTTCTCGTGCAATTTGGAATAAACAAGCACTTGTTAATTTTTTCAAAGATCACAAATTGTACTCGCCCTACGGGCTCGTGCAATTTTGTTAGTCTTTGAAAAAATTTACTCTTGCTTATTTATTCCAAATTGCACTCGAAATCATGTGATTACCTATACGAAATTTGTCCTCACAAATTTTAGAGGAAAGTTCATTTAAAAAGTCGAGAGTCCTATCAAACTTAGATGATATTAATATATTTAAAAGGTACCAGATGACGATTTATGTCTTTGAAGAGGAAAGAGATATCTCAACAAATCAACCTCTCAGTTCCTAAGGTTCGGAAACCCTTCTGAAGATTATCGATTATTCACCCGACGGAATATAATGAACTTTGCACTTCAACAACACTAGCGACAGTACCTTTGACAACAACAAAAAGATAAAGTGGAATCGGTTTTGTTTTCTTACATCTGGAAAGTGATAATTCATTGTCTCATGCAACCTTAAACTTATTACATGTAGAGAATTTGAAAAGCAGGTGATAAGAAGGTTTAGCCTTTGGGAAAGTCAATTTGGATTTTCTTAAGTGCAGCAAAGACATGCAAACCTCTGATTACTTAGACGTGCTATTTGTCCTAGGCTCATTGTCAGTTATAACTAAAACAACAAGAGTAACAGATTACACCTCTTTTACCGGTCACATACACACAAATAAGCCCGAAAAGGTTATTAAATTAGGTTTTAACTGGTCGTCATTTCGGGCCTCCTTCTGGTGTTGTTTAGTTTTTCGTTAGAATGGCTTGTATAAGAGCTACTAGCATAGACAGCATTTAGATTTCAGCCATTTCACCCAACACGTTTTTCTACAAGATTCACCTGTTAAGGTATGATTTAATCAAAATAAGGAATACTATACTCCTACAATTTTAAACTATTTTATTAAACAACTTGTAATAATTCTTTCTCATGACCTACTCCTATAGGCAATACAATAATTGTCATTTAAAAACTTACTTAAGGCCACTATAAACTATAACTTTGCTCACTACTGACACCAAAGACTCACTATTGCCTCAAAATCTCCTCAAAATACACAATCTTTGAAGTATATCACAGTACGGAGCTATCTTTTGGTAGAGCTTCTTAGATAGTTGATCTTTTCCGACAAAAAAAAAATACTACTCCTAACTGACTGAGTCCTTATATACTTTCACAACGCATTTCAAAAGGAGTATAAGCGATCCTCGCAGCTATGAACACTACTGAACTTGTTGTTGAAATAAGACCTGAAAAAAAACTACTAGTTCATTAGTGTTCATAACTGCGAGGATCGCTCATATTTGTTTCCTCACCGCAGTGCACATAGATTATTTTCATTTGTTTACAGTCAGTATTTCAAAACATTCCGGAATTCGAAGCTTGCAACACAAGTGTTGTGGTAGAGCTACATCATAATTACATAGCCTAATAGAATGTTCTATTTTTCCATACTATGTCATCAGAAAGTTTGAGTATCAATGTAACAGTGACTAACAATTTTGCAATTCTAGAAATTATTTACAGTCTTATTCACAACACACCTAAGCTGCTTTAGTTTCTAACGACCTAAGTAAACATCAAGAGTTCAAAAGGTTTAGTAATAAGCAAAAATACAATGCTCAAAGTTCTGCTTGAAACTTTCTCTGTGAAGCTCTTCGATTGGAATAGATATTAGAATTACTCTCATGGAAAATCACTAAGGGAGGGAGGGGTGGGGGAGTCTGTTGTAATGCTCGGATAAACAGCAATTGTTAAGTCGACTCTGATGATAATTTCCACTGAGGTTACAGAAACGTTATTCACCATTACTGACTACCGACTGTCACAACTTCTCAGAAGCACTCTTATTTGGAAGATCAAACTACGCGGTCCAAAGGTACTCGTGTTCAAAATACTCACTGCTTAACACAAACCATTGGTCCTTGTTATCATTGATGTACATGTGCGTGCCAATAAATCGATTTGGGAATCGTTTCACTGTGTAGAATGACTTGCTCATAGCATTCAGTCTGTGCTACAGTAGCGCGAGGCACATCTAGGTGGCTTTTGTAGTTGGTATATAAAGTAGGATCCGCAGTCTTTCACTTTAATATTTTTTGATTCCTTGCAACAATCTCCTCGTCTGTTAAAGCAGACTTTGGAGGAAACCTCACCATCTGTCAATGTGGGGTGACCACCTTTTAGCCAGCCTGAGAAGTTCGCACCACATCTCCGCTCCGGTACGCACTGGGTTGGCATTTTTGTCCCTGCATCTCCCACGAAACGATACCATTTCCCGAATGTTATGGATGATTCGTCGTCACATTTTCCTCTATCGTTGGGTGTGTTGTGAGTGCTCTTTCTGTCAGCATCACTCAGGTTTCTGTAATTATAGCACGGATCGGCTAAAAAGTTGAATTTCAGTTAATGCGATGTCTTATATACATTTTTTTAAAAGAAAGCTTAAGGAAAGAAAATTATTATGTAAACTGCGGTGTCTTAGAAGGATTTCCCGCCCTGAGAAAAGCCGTAACAGCACGCTTATAATATTACGATAATTTTTTATACGTCTTCGATATCGCCAATCAGCTGTGTCAGGTTAATAAATGAATGGCAAAGTATTGACCGTTCTCAATCTAGGGTCGCTTGTCAAGATTTTCTCGGATTATGGCTGCCTAAAGTACAGAAAAGTTCGTATTTCTAAAAGAAAGTGTCGTTCAAAATTTCCTCAAAGCCGAAGTAAAACAAAATACGAAAACAAAAACCGAAGGCTACGTATACAGTCGCTTTGGTGATGGTATTTCTCGCGGCTGAGAGCGAAAATCGACAAACTGGAAGATTTGCCACGGGCCGATTTTGGACGTGTATAACCATATCTTCTTTCGCTAAGAAAAAAAGTCAATAGCTGAGAATTTTCTTAAAAGAAATTTACGCCCATTGTCTGTTTCTGTAATGGTTCAACGCATTTTTTCATCTTGAGCCTTATGGCCCACGCGCTTTACGACTTTTTTTTTCGTGGATTGTGAAACCTATAGTTTCATTCTATAAAAAAGTCGACTTTTGACTATTGTATCTATATGATAAACAAAATAATACATGGTTGCTTGCAGATATGGAACTTCTCTTCTCGTGTTCAACTCGATACCAAGAAATTACAGCAGTTTATATTCTCTTGCTTGATATCTTACTCGTTCGCTGATCTCACTCTTGAGATAGCGAGTTGAACACTCGAAGAGAAATTGCATCATTCTCTACTTATTGAATGAGGACGAAATGGCTGAGTTTGTCATACAGCCTCAATGCAAAATCCCTGAATTTCAACGAATTTCAATGTGTGTCTGTGGCTCGATCGCTCAGTGATTGGTTTTCAAGCAGCCCTGCAATCATCGACTGCTGACCACAGAAAAGGTTGTTGATGAATGTAAAGCCATTAAACTTAATAAAAACTTCAGGGCTAGAATTATTTGACTGTCCAAAAGTTTGCTGTGTCGTTTTGGAATTGTAGTGTAGTAAATAGTTTTTCTTTGAACTGAGTATCAACTTCGTTGGGAGCCGATTACTGCTTAAACGATAGAGAACCTTTTTCCGTGTTTACTTACTCTCGTCTAAACACGAGAGGAGGTTGGGAGAATTTGAGAAAGTTATGCAAACCCGACACGCAGTCGAGGGTTTGCATAACTTTCAAGAAATTTTCCAACCTCCCGCGAGTGTTTAAATGAGACAATGTAAACACGGGAAAAAGTACCTTATATACTATAAGCATTTATCGCGTAAACTGCGGTGTTATACAAGGATTTCCGGCCCCGAGAAAAGCTGTAACAACACACGTGAAAAAATGTCGTATTTTTATATAGCCAATCAGCTGCTGACACGTCATTCGTCTTTGGCGCCACTCGGTCAGGTTGATGAACGGCAAAGCCCCCACGATTCACAATACAAGTTGTTTGTTGGAGCTTTCGCGAATTATGGCGGCTAAAACACTAAAAAATCCGTATCGCTGACAGATAATGAGGTTCAAACTTTCCTAGAAGGGGAAGAAAACCAATACACTAAAAGAAAAACCGAAAGTTGCGTATTCAGTGGCTTTGGTGTTAGCATTTCTCTCGGCTAAGAATGAAAATCGACAACTGGAAGATTTGCCACTGGCCGATTTTGAAAGACTTCTTCTGTCGGTAAGGACAAAGTCAATAAATGAGAATTTTGTTGACTGAAAATTACGACCATTGTTGTTTTTGTAATCATGATTCAACGCTTTTTTCCATCTTAAGAGTTAGCGTCAACGCACTCTACAATTGTTATTCGAGGATTGTCGATTCATTTATTTTCATTCATTAATGAAGTCGACTTTTCTTCCTAGTAAAGGGTTATTGTGTTTATATGATAAACAAAATAATACATGGTTGCTTGTAGATATGGAATTTCTTCGTGTTCAACTCAACATCTCACTCGTTTGCTGTGCTCACTCGTGAGCTATCGAGTTAACACTCGAAGAGAAATTCCAAATCTACGCGCGCCCATGCATTATTCTCTATATATCTCCAATAACATTACAGAAGAAGGTAGTGTTGTTTATTTATAACTTGACTGATGTCTAATTTCTCAATACATGTTCTGGATGATAATGTTTCCTAATAGCTAATCAAATCGCCCATCTGAAAACACCTAAACCGATCAAAATTCGCATTAAAAAAGTCAAGTTGAAACTTGTGGCACGTGTCAGCACCTTTTGAATGGAACTATTTATATTTTTCGGAACAGCCATTGGTAGGGAACATTTAAAGAAAAGTTTTGAAAATTGTCAGATAACTTTTTTTTTTTCTGAGGAATCACCTTGATATGTCAAATCTTAACCGCGGTCGACGTTGATTCTAGCCAATCAGATTATCCTGTTTGATTGCTTTCAATCCTTTCGAGACACAGCCTTATAATTATTAAATTTATAAGAACAATTATGCATCATCATAAAAAAATAATGAATATTGTCATTTTTTCTCTTGGTGGACAAAAGCAATGCACATCAAGTCCACAAATATGATATAAAAAAATCCAGTCTATCTTTCTTTTTCCCTAATGGTTCGTCGGAGGACGTTTCCAAGCGATTTAAAGGCACCAAAAACTAACGTGATTTGTTTCATGGCCAAACAAGAATAGCCATTCACTCAAAAATATTTTCAGCGAGTTCAGCCAGTACCAGCGTTAAAAATTTTTAAGGCACGGATTAAAAGAGACTAACCTTTGCAAGTCAAACCATCCCCAATGTATTCAGGATTACAGGCACAACTGTAGGAGCCCTCGGTATTACTGCAGGAGGCGTGTTCATCACAGATGTTCACTTTCGAACACTCGTCGATGTCTGATGAGGATCAAGCGCACCACGTCACAACCCATAATTGTAAGTTATGATGAAAAATGTTTTGGTGAATCAAGACATAGAGAATAACTACACAAAATACTGCAAAGCTATTCTCAAATGATGTATGACAAAATAAAATAATACACTATTTCTAATGAGGAGTGAATCAAGTAGGAATTCATTTTAGGATAAATATTATACTACTTCTGGTACCATAGGAATTAACCACAATTCAAAGGACGTTTTAGATTACTCTCCGCTTCGAATAACTGGGATTTAAGGAAACCTATTAAAATCATCTGAGCAAGTTTGTCCATTTCCAGAGTAACCAATCTGGCATGTACATAAATGTGATCCAATGGTGTTGGTACAGTTAGCATTCACACGACAAGAAAGATTTCTTGAGCATTCATCAATATCTGAGAAATGACAGGCTTTCAATCACGATTCTTGTTTAAACCTCCGTATTTTGAGCATTGATTGCGATAATTGTCGTTAATGAGTTGTTGGTCGCTATGTTTTATTAAAGAGAAAGCTGGTCAACGAAGATGTTCAGCATTTTGTTCCCTTATGTTTAAGTGGGATTAAGGATTTTCATTTTCTGCCGTTGGTCAAAAATGTCAGGCAAGGTTAACTGCTTTATCAAAACAAACAAACAAACACACCCACTAAAATTTTACTAAGTCATAACGAGTCAATTACAATCTAAAGGCCTTTACCTGTGCAGTTCCATCCATCTCCGTTAAATCCAAATAAACAGGTGCACACAAAGGATCCATTTGTGTTTTGACAAGTAGCGTTCAGGTGACAATTGTGAGTATTTTTTTTGCATTCATCAATATCTAAAAAAATGGGAAAGAAAAGAAAAATTATACAGCGGTAATGGTTACACGAGTGAGATATACATTCGCTTTATAAAGTCTTATGCGGTGAAAAAGCATTTAGTTAGTTATCATTGCGACAAATTAATTGTTAATTTAGATTAAACCAAAACTTCCATTACAGTGGAATTTCTCTCTAGGCACCATTTCACACTGAAGCCGGATATCAGTCGTCAAAGATCAGCCTTGGTAACCTTCCTTTAAGATACGCATTCGACGGCCAAACGTGATATATAAATAGGGGTGGTTTGTCTAGGAAATATTTTGTTCTTATCAGCACATTCTGCAATTAACCTTTTTCGCAATGTTCTCCTTCGAATCCAGGAGGGCATAAGCATCGATATCCCTTGATTGTGAAACCAGACTGACAAGTTGCATTATTTCGACACTGTGGGTTTTTACCGCAGGTGTTCTGAAAGGAAAAAAAATAAAAGAAGAAATATGGATGTATTGAATGATTGATAGATAAATGAATGAACTGAAGTTTTGATAATTAATGGTTGTTTTTCATGATTCATCGAAAAGCGTCGAGTTGCTGAATTTAAGTTATACTTTATGGTTTACCTTTGAGCCACGATAATGAAAATCGGTATTAGTTATCAGGTCAGTATCATGTTCAAGATGAGTGGCGTTATTCAGTTCACAGATGTAATCGTTTCCTTCATTCTCTGGCTCTTTTTTGAAGTTAGCACTGACGCAGTTGTCATTCATGTAGCAGGAAAGCTCACATTGATCCAAGTTTTTGACGTGTTTAGTTTCGATTTTATGTTTCACCAAACGTTTGTCAGAAAAGAAGAAGTAATCTGGAAACATCATTGTGCGATCTCGCTCTGAAATAAAGCAATCAAAATATAGTTAGAAAATAAATTTTTCCTATCATACGGAAATAGACTCGCGATTCCAAGTATTAAGCTCACAAAATAACACGCTTGGTGAACAGAGAACTGTGATCTCAATTCAACCATTACCACGGGAAAATGGAGAAAAATTAAGGGGGGCATTGGGGCCTATTAGAAACCATCCAAAACCGAAAAACCGAAAAATGATTCGATGAAAATCGAAAACCGTATGCAAAACTATTAAAACCGATACATTTTCACATCCCAGTTATTAAAACCCTGATCGATCCGATACAGTGGTGACAAAGCATACAGAGTAAACTATACTAATTTCATCACAGGATTTATGAATGCCATGGACTTGGCATTCGTATCTTCTAGTATCTTTTTAAATTAACAACTGCCCTCTCGAGGACCTCGAGCGTTAAAATTCGCACTAAAGTTCCCACACCGCTACACGTAGGCTACCTAGGGATCTCTACGATATTTCAATTGGTTTGTCACGCATTCGTCTCGATAACATTTGTGTTTAGCTGCTATTCGAGATCAGTGGAGGCGCGTAATTGCCGCTTAGATCGGAGAGAAACCGGAACCGAAATAGGTCAAACAGGAAAAACCGAAAACCACATCGGATATCAAATATTTCTGGAATAAAAACCGAAAAACCGATCTAAAAAATAGCCAAAACCGCAGAACCGAAATTCCCAATGTCCCCTTCCTTCACTTGCGGATTTTTTTATTTCGAGAAAATAATTATATTTAGGACAATGTTCCATATCTCAATTCCGCGCTCAGAGATTCCTCATGATTTCAGCTGAAACTTCTATTTCGATAATGAAGCTTAACACATAAAATGTTTGGGAAAAAGACAAATCTGAGTAAAGTTCTTAATTATTTTTTGGATGTCGCTGTTACTGCTGTTAGATCATAATTTCTGAATATTTTGTATATATAATAGGGCCCTAGATAATTAACTCCAACCTCCCTCCCTCCCAAAAACGTTTAAAACAAAAGTGAAACGACAAAAAAAAAATTGGCAGCATCGATCATCACTTGTCTTCTGTGAAGACACAAGGTTTGTAGAGAGCATTTTCGTGATTGTTTCTCCTGAATGATATTATTTTAGGTGAGATTAAACAAAAGCCGTTAATAAAACAGAGTTTCTTACATGAGTTTACACGATCGCCTCTAGTTATTTAGACCGATTATCAAAGAAAGAGAAAATTTATGCTACTTGCCATTAAGACAAGCCATCGTTGTCTGGCATCACGCAGCAGATTCCTACATGGGTTCAAGATGTTTCTATCGATAAATTCAGTATACATTGGAAAATTCGACTTTTCCACGGGGATAGTGAATTCAAATAAACAAAGTCAAACACTATCTTTCTCAAACTTGAAATATCGAAATAATAAAAAATTTAACGGTCGACAAATGCCATCTGTTTTTGAGGTAAGTACCTTTAAACTAATCCTTAAACATGTTTGTGCTGATAACTTTCTCTGAGACTTGCAAAATACCCGATTTTAACTTTTGATAGATAAGCTACGTTTATGATCGAATATACAACAAGAAAAATGTAACTATTCTTTACCATATATCAGCACTGTTCTTATGTAAAAATTATTTCTCTAAGATGGTTAAGAGCGATAAAAATGTGCTTCCGAATGATGCAGAGAGATAAAATTCCCGCCTAATAAAACACAGGGAAATTGAACATAACATAGTGTCATGCTTAAATGTTATTGAGAGAGGAGAGATGGGAATATAACCATTTTCAATGAAGTCTTTCGAATTTACCGAAGTTTTTTGTCGTTTTGCATCTAATATATAATTTTCTGAATAAGAAATAATTAAAACTTTTTATTAAATACCATTTAATTTTTCAAATATGAGTTCAAATCATGGCTGGATGCTGAATGTGGATTCTTGACTTAGTCTTTGCTAGTTGTTGTAACTTTAACTGTTTTTTTATCAGCAAAAGAAATAAAAGAGATATATAAATAAGGTTGTACTCATAAGTGAAACGAAGGATGAAAAATGATTCGCCGTCTGCGACTCACCTTTTCCAAAAGTCAAGTTAGTCAATAATGCATTCCAGGCTATGAACATGAAAAATGAAACAAACTCCATGCCTGCTTCAAGGTAACGGTTTTCCGTTTCTACCCCACTCGTATGGCGCAAGTTTTAAGTTGATCACAAGCTCCTCACAGTGGATTAAGCGTCCAAAATTGACCTGTTTTTATGAATGAAACCATACTATGAAAGTCAATTAAAACATAAAAAACAATTTAAAAAAAAAACTTGGGGCTATAAAGTCTATGTGGAAAGTAATAGAAATGTCGCAGATAGATGTTACCCGCTTCCTTACAAGTTAACGTACTTATTAGACATTGAAATTAGTCCTTAGAACAACATTGTAAAAATTTCGATCTATTTCTTTAGAACGTCTAATTGAAGGCAAAAAAACCCCAGGAAAAGCAGATATTTGGACGTTAAGTTCTCTTAGACTTATTAATTAAATTTGACAAATGAAGCATATTTTCGGCATATTTATCCAGCATACTTTTTATTCATTCCTATCGAAAGATAAACACCTTGGAAAACTCATCATGCTTTTAATATTTGTCGTATGGCAAGTTTGGTAATAATAGACATTTAATCGAAAGAAAACTCATGTTCCCGTTTAAGTCCGCTTTCATTTGTCAGTGTTTGGAGTTAAAATACGCAGACGTGTTATTTTCATCAAACTTCGCTCCTAAAATTGTGTGAAAGAGTTGATAATCAACCCTAATACAAAGCTCTTTAGCGCACGGATATCTACATCCACTAGGTGTTCTTAAACTGCCCATAGAAAAACGAATGTCCATTCAGAAATGTTGGTTTTAGATGTGAAGTGACGACGACTCGACCTCGACAAAAACTTCAGAAGAAATAATATATTCTTATTGAGCGAGAAAAAAAATGCGATCTTTGGCAAGTTGGCTAATTAACATTTACAAGCTGCTGCTTATCCTCATCTTATATAAAACAAAAATTCCGATGATTGTTGAAACCCTTCGTTTATCTGCTAAGTCCAATAACCAAAAGGGCAAGAAAGATTCAAACATAAAGTTTCCAAACCGGCTATATCCGATGAATAATCCTTTCTAATACATCAAACATTTTGGACGGAGTTGAAACTTCAGCGACCTTTTGGTAATTTTTGTGGTAAACAGAGCAACATATTGTTTACCAGAGCTTTCGTGTTGCATAGAGATAAACATTTAAAGGCTCAGTTAGTAAACCCCAGGTAGTGATAATCTGCCTTCGTTTAAAAGACCTTGAGTTAGTTTGCTTTCAAAATCGCACCATAACCTTATTTGAGAGTGAAGCCAGCCTTTTTCTTTTGGTATACAGGATTAAAGGGGAAATATCCTTTTCGTAAAGAATATGGATTTTCCAGGGAAGGTATTACTCAAATAGCCCATCAATGTTTTCGATATGATAAACTCTTACTTCTCAAGATGCAGAGCTCTTTGGTCTTCACTGCTTTTGAGGTAAAAGTGCTTTCTTTTATAACAATATGGTAGCTATGGTTACCATAGAAACACCTGGTTTCAAGCCAAAACAATGATTAACTTTAGAAAAGAACTTCCTTGCTCTCTCTACAATGTCACTGAACCATAGCAATAATTACACAATAGTTATCACGATCACTATCTCAAATTTTGCAATAAGCGTAATTTTCAGCTGGTAACGTTGACAAATTATCATTATGAAACATCTTATTCGATCTAAATTAGCTTTTAAACGTTGTTTAAGAAGATTTCCTTCAAGTTCTCAAATAATCTGGTGTTTAACTATGGAAACTCCACCGTGTGATAATAAAGGGTCGCTAATGAAAACTAATACGGAAAGGATGTCTTTGACAAGGAAATATTGCCAGCCTCAAGAAACGTTAAGCTTTCTGTTGCATAAGCTGTACACAAAAGCTCTAAACATACAATAACACTCTTATATTTGCATCAATCAAAAGGGTCCCACTTAAAGTGTATGGAACTTCTCTGAAAAAAAGTAGGGACTGAGTAGATTTTTACGGGCAGGGAAAACTGCATTTTTTTTTCTTTTTGCCTTAAGAAATGTTGGACTTGTTTGTGGTTTGAAAGTTAGTTCTCTAATTAGGAAAGGACTTTAATCAACCTGTCGCGTAATTTTAGTTTGAAAAGTAACTTGCTCTGGCCTCGAGAAAGTCTTTCAGCAAATGCTGACGATTCGTGTTGGAATTTTTCTATCAAAGTTTGTACGGCTCCATTTTGCGCGAAAGCCACCGTGAGCATAACTCACGGACGTTAAGCACATGCAATGCAAATGATTCGCTCGAACCCCAAGGGCTTCAGAGCTACAATACAAATTCAGTTGACAGTAACGACAAACAGATTAAACATGATGCGATATAAATTTTCAGTGATATGCTAAATACTTAAAATTAATCGCTAAATATTTTTTAGCTCGACAGTTTTTAATGAGTCGTCGACAGTGTAGTTCAAATGAATTATAGGCGCCGCAAAAATGTCAATTTTTTTTCGTCATACACAGTTTCTCGAAATTTGCTTCCGTTCTTTTAATATTACTCGTGGTTTATTGAATTGTCCATTGTCTTGTCTCATGCAACGTTAAATCATCACGTAAAGACGACTCGAAATTATTTTAAAAGTTCCTATTCATGTAAAATCGTTCGCTCTTCTTCCTAGGGCTTCGTCACCACGAGTTAGACAAAAAGCACGTTTTCCGTCCGTATGGTAAAATCATCCCGACAATTAATTTTGTGCAGGATGAAACATTTAGCCGGCTTCACGCACTCTGTAGGAGTTTTAGAACATAGTTTAGGCGCACTTTACCAGAATAAACAATACATTTTCCCCTTTATTTAACATAGCAAATGTTTTGTTCAAGATGACAGACAAGGCAGATACCAGAAGCTGTTTATGTCTTTCTATAAGACACCAAATGACCTCATTAATAAATTATCTCCTATATTTTACCAGCTTGCCTAACTCTTCGGTGGAAGGTTCTCGAATTTTCAAGTTACGTTAAAAATTGTTTAAGTTCTCAGTAGGTGTGATATGCCACTGAAAAATAGCTCAGTAATTTCGAACTTCATTATAATTAAAGAAATAAAACATTGGAAAAATCGTGCGATCCACATTTCTATTCCTAAAGCCTCTGTTGTTTAAATTGCAACTGTAGTAGTTTCAATGCACGAATGTTTTATTTTCTGAAATTGAAAACTTTCAAACAATCTTTAGAACTTAAAGCAGTCGTTACATTTTTTATTTATATCTGAGGCGAAGAACTGTGCATTAATTCAAGAAAATGTTTCAGCAAAGAATTGTGACAGCTTTCAGGACATGGGGTTTGCCTCAGCTAAGGCGTCCGCATTTTTCAGGGAACTCATTTAGCGTCGCTCTTAAGGCCCTGTTTACTATACGAGTTGTTATCAGATAATTGTTTTTTAACTGTCGACTGGTCTTATTCGCGTTTTCAACAAAACTGAAAATACTTTATTTAGGCAGGCGATAAATTAAATCGTGCTATTTTTGTAGTTATGTATAGACCAAACTGTTTGAATAAAGTTTATGTGGACTTATTTTACAACGATTACGATTCGTCTTTTGATTAAATGTGTTTCATTGGCGCTTTGAAACGAATTAAGTACGTGCATATGTAGAATATGGAATTAACAATCAAGGAAATGCAGATATTAGAAATACAGAATATTGTGGTGAAACTTGTAAGATTTACTTTGCGAAGCATCGTGTATGTTTTAGTCTTCATCCTGAACCTTGGATCTTACACTCATCAAAGGATAAATTATGATTTGCCTAGTTTTTAATCAAGCATTCATGAAATAATCAGTTCGGGAAGTTAAACACTGACTGCCATAGCAATACTACTTCCGCTGAAGGAAAACCACTCATTGATAACTCCTCAAAGCCACGCAAAAAATAGCATTACATTCGTCGTTTTATAATCGAAAACAGAATCCATGGAACCTTTTAGCCATCACGGAAACATTGCAGCATTGAGGTTCACAAAATCATGTGGGAACATTAAGCAGTAGGCTTGTAGAACATCAAGGCGGCAAAACATTCACTAAATTTTATTCGTGCCTTGAATTATGCATTGCCTCCATTTCATTTTCTACGGTCTTCTCAAGAACAGGAATTTATGAAGAAACGGTTTCTATGGTTTTTTTCTCCTTATAACTTTACTTTTACTGTGCTGTTTTGTAAACAAATAACAGAAAAAAAGAAAAAAGAAGAAAAAGGCAAACTGTAGGTTCTGCGTAAATTAACCAGCCTACTGAGGAGAATACGGGAACATGGAGAAAAATTAATACTACCTTCATTTGCGGATTTTTGCCTATCTGACTCACTCATGCCTATTATGCCGTGTGGCACTTAGGGCGGCTTTGTCTATCTGAGAACATAGGTATTTAGGACAATTTTCAAATGTTTCAATTCCGCGCTCAGAGATTTCCTCATTATTTCAGCTGAGACTTATATTTCGATAAAGAAGGTTAACACATAAAATGCTTAGGGAAAAGACAAGTTGAACTAATTTTTTTAATTGTTTTGTTTTGTTTTTTTTGATGTCGCTGTTACCGCTGTTATATCTTAAATTCCTAATCACCAGCTCCCAGCAGTGGATTAAGCTTCCAAAATCGACCTGTTTGCTATGAACGCAACCGTTTTATTAAAATAAATTAAAGAAAAAAGCTTGCAGCTGTCAGTTTTATGTCGAAATTAAAGCAAATGACGCAAATGGATGTTATCCGCTTCGCTCGATGGAGAGGATTGGGTCTCTTAAGAATAATTGTTTATCTTTACATGTTAACATACGTATCAGACACCGAAGTCAGTCTTTAGAACAATATTGTAAAAATTTAGCGTGTGGATATCTCCCTCCACCAGGTGTTCTTAAACTACTCAAAACTCCCTTTATTCTCTTGGAATCTGACGACCGCCTTTTTGCATATCGTGTCTATAACAGACGTATCCTCTCTTGTTGTAAACATATCTGAGAGGGCTATGACAATCTCTTTTCTTTGTTTTTCGATATTGTCTGTAATCAAAAACTGCGTCTGTGAA